CAGCACTTTTTATTTTATCTGCGTTCATAATTGCATACTTTAGAGTTACATAATCTTTTTGATTTCTGAATGTCTTTTTTTTAATATATTGCATGGATTTTTAAAATAGGAAAGATATTGTTCAGCATATTGTTTCATTAAGAATTGATATGTTGCAAACTTTTCATGGCAATTACTACAATAGAAGCCTTTGTTTACTTTTCTTTTTTCCTCACTTGGTTTCCTATTATTAAATTTAGATAAATTTTTATGATTTTTATGGTTCTCACAAAACCTCCATAGGGTTACGACATATTTATATGAAAGATATAAAAAATAACATATTGATATAAAATCAAAGTGCAAACTCTGGGCAGCATAACTCAGATCCCAATAGTTAAAAATAGAAATGTAGCAGTAAATGAGAGGGAAAAAGGAGAGGGAAAAGAATTAAGATTAGACAGCAAATCAAAGCTGATAAAATATGTTTAAAAGAAAAATGCTGTTCTCCACTGGCATCTATGGATATAACTGAAATCAGCTCTGTGTCATTTTGATAGACATAAACATTTAATTCAAATGGCAAATGCAATTTTTTCTTGAGAGTTATCCAAAACAAATAAGAGTGCCCTCCCTCCTCAAATTATCCACAATGAGAATGTATTCAATGCATTTTAAAATTCAATTATCATTTGCTCAAGTATAATTATTAGACATTTAAACTATGACCTGGTATGCTTAATTGAGTAATCATGGTAAGTCACATATTATCCATGTTACTTGATAGGATGAGCATGAAAGCAGGTATTACTAAAATAATGAATGGTTTAAAGTCTACTTCTACAAGCTCAAGCATGCAGTTTTTAGGTTCAGTTCAAACATGTATGACCCAAATTTAATTGCTAAATATTCCCAGAAAATCTGTGCTGGGCCTTTATTTATTTAGGATTTTTTTACATGGGTGATTGAATAATTGCTGATTTTTTCAACAATATCCTGACATGCTTTTTTTTTTTGTTCTTTTTCCTCACTTGTTTTTTGCCTGATCACTGTACTAGGCACAAACTCAAAGCTATTTATGGGTAAAAACACCCATGATGAAACAAAAGCCAGAATACAGAAGATATTAATAACTTCTTAAATATTTTATGATACTTGAAAAGCAGAAAGCAAATTCAATTGTTCAGACTAAGATACTGTATTTTGCTAAATCTGCAAATACAGTAAAGATAGATAAATTAGTCAAAAGTGAAAATTTGCTACAGCCTTTGAATCCCCAACAATCAGACTTATGTAGTAATTATAAGTATGCATTTCTGTGGAATGTAAGGACTGAAATTAGTGAAAAATGTGAAAGAAAGATGTGGAAGAAAATTGATAGAAAATAGAATTTCCATGAAAAATTGTCATTTATGGAATATGCCTTTTTTTATTGATCTTTTATATAGCATATTTGTTTTCCTTTACTGTAAAGCTGTTGAAGAGAGGAGAGAAATGTACAAAGCCTAGGTACTCCTAATCATCATTCAGAGCATCTAAATTTGATATCAGCTTCGACTTTGATATCACTGCTTTAAAGCTAATCTAATGCTGTTGCCCTGGAAAAGAGAAGTCCTGCCTTTTCCCTCTCCATCCCACCCAGAACTGATCATCTCTGCCCACTCCCTTGCAGCAGCTATAGTGACTTGCTCAGTCTCAGGGAGATCAGGGCAATGCAGTAATGCTGCTTAAAACTCATTATTTTCTTCCAGGGTTAACCTTAAATTGATAACGTAATAGAAAAGAAGCAGCAGAAATATGGTGAAAGCTGAACCATGCATCTCAGGCTGGTTTTAGGTCAGCTTAAATTCCTCGTGAAACTGATCTTTAACAAGATGTTTAAAAAGTATGATATGAACAGGCTTTGGTTTCCTCACTTCTACAAAAAAATGCTGATGATATTAAATTTCTCAGCCAACTCTGACTCAGGCTTTTATTCACTTTTCTTGCTTATTCAATGACAGGGGACATAGAGAACATTCCTCACTATAGTTTCTGCTACATCTGTTGAACATAGGTTCCAGAATCATATTTACCTTCTCTTACTTCCTCAACTATAGTCTGAAATGGTCAACTGTTTTCAATCACTCACTGTACCATTGTGCTGCTCTTTATATCCGTGGTAGATATTATTGTCAAAATTTATATTGATACATATATATTCCTATTTATATAGTTCAGTGCTTAATAGCAAAAGAGATTCTACTTACCATGCTCCCAACAAAACATCTTAAAACCTTCTCATATTAAGGCTCAAAGGTAATTCTCCATCCTTACCCATAATGTCTTTCCTAGACAATAAATAGTCCCACTTTCTTCAACATCACACATGCCTCTGATATCACTCAGGCTTCTCCACAACTGTGCTGTAGTGCTGTGCTTAAACCCACAAATATTTCCATCATAGCATCTCTGAATACGCCATTTCTTTCTACCCTGTGAGACGCCAGCTATATCTCAAAACTATTATTGTTTTTAACATTTACTAATATTTACTACTTCTTTTTTCCCCTCTAAGGTTGACAAAAGGAAGGAAATGCATTGACAATTCTGCTGCAAAGGCTACTTTTCTCTTTCTTTTCTTTGACAGATTCATCTGTTCCTGTGCATCAACATGTGGCCTCCCTGTTTTTCAACTGTACAGAGCAGTGTCCCGCTCTTCCCACTCAGGCTTCCTTTCATATAATTTCTCCCACTCATCTCTTTAGATCAGGTTTAAAATCTTGCCTCTGCTTCCAGTCACATTATGATTCTATCATCTATCATCCACCTGTTAACATTTTGGATATGCCTTTTTGAGATTGCTTTTCACATAGTGAGAAGGCCATGGGTTGTCCCGGTGAACCTGTGCAAAGTTAGCATGTCATCTGCCTCTGAACATTTCCTTAATAGTCTCCTGGGCGACTTTTTCTGCAACTCTCTTGAGAGCAGCCAGATTCTGTCAAAGGCTGTCAATCCATCATATTGATTGAACTGGCTTTACTGTTTCTTGAATTTCCTTGTTTTAACCCCTGCACTACAAGGGACTTGCTGTGTGTACCCTTAAATTTAAAGGCTTTGGGGAATGGGTTATTTTTTCCTGCTTTTTCCTATGGTACTTACTACAGAGAAATCTCAGCTATGACAGAGGTGGCTGCTGCAGTAAAAAAAAAAAAATCAATTATTATAATAGATTAACAATTATTAATTTGAGCATATAAAAATAACATACCATGACCAAACTCTCAGTCTTTTGTTATTGCTCTAGTATTATATTTGTGACCAGACAAATGTTAGTGTTCTATCAAATTAAAAATTGCTACATCTACTTGAAAATATCTCATTTCTTTCAATTAAAATATTATAACAATACAAAAACATTGGTAGAGCTTTTGTACTTGAAAAATTGCAAACGATGGGGAATGCACTTTGGGATAAAAGTCACTGGATGGCACACAAAGAAGTGGCTTTTTTTCACTTCTCTTATTACAGCCCTTACTCAAAGAAAAGGGCTATGGAAGTTGCTGCTGGTATTACTATGATAGGAATTCTAGTAACATTTTATATTTACACAAAGGAAATATCAAGCTATCTAATTATCTAAGAACAAAAAAGTAATAGCAGATTTTAAGTGTATGTATGAATAGAGAAGAAACACTGTTTTTCCAGATCAGATTCGTTTTCTTATTATACCTCACCCTAAATATGTTCCTTAAGGTGTGTATCCCTCTCTGTGTATCCCTATCTACTGTACGGACAGTAGGCTGATGTTTTGCCCTTGTTCAACATCCACCTCCTAGGATAATCCAGAAGCAGCAGCAGCAATCTAACGGGATGTTCCTTCATCAGTAATGCCATCAGAAAGAGCTGCTGTGTGACTTCAACATTTGAGAAAAATGTCTCAACGTATAAAGTAAATGATTAAATAATTTGTATTTAGCCTACTACAGTTCTAGGGTTTGCCCAGTTCAGGTAAGAAATGGTGACAGCTCTTCACAGAAAGCAAACAAGGACTCGGTAATATATAGACATTCCTTATTTTCATTAGGCTCATTTTAGCAGATCGAAAAGATCCTGAGTATAGACAGGAGATGAGCTGTATCCATTACCACATGTGTATGATTCACAGGGTTAGACCTGATTATGCCTTCTGGCATCAAAATCTAGTAGTACTCCATGAGGATAGCCTTCATTCAGAGTAATATAACTTTTTAAGGACCTTCTGCCTTTCAGTGTCCTTTCAGTTGCTGTGGATGAAGACATATTGCTCCAGGGAAACTACTCTGAGCTCCCTCAGGCCTCCAGTCCTTTTGTGCTGGGAGGTCAGGGATGGCCTATGACAGCTTGGTGATGAAGTGCTCAACACTTAGGACTTTATATATTGAAGGGAAGCATGAAGGAATGATTTAACAGATGTATTTGTGCCTGCTGAAATTTATGGGCATGTGGATATTCTGTGCCAGGACTTTTGAGCTGCTGGCAAATATCCTTGCCAAAAGTCATGGAGCTCAGATCTACACAGAGTATATTTGTCATTAGGGTTGGTATTCATCAAATGTAACCTTGGTATCTTGTATTACTAAATGTCTCAATGTGAGTTGTTTTAATTTTTTCCAGAGATAACCCTGGAATTATCTTTAGAGCACTCAACATTCAATCCCCCTCTCTGGTTTTGCCTTTGCTTAACTCGCAGCTCTCTGTGTTGAGTGTGATTGGTGACATTTCTAAAGGAAGGCATCATGACTGAAAGTTGCCTCACTGTCAGTGTCCATACTGTTACAGTTTGGAGGCGATGGATTTTTTTTTTACCTTCTGAAATACCATAAAAGCTTTGGCTTCATAGAAGATCTCACACCGCTACAATATGATGACTGCAACTTGAGGGGGTGGCCTCTGCAAGCCACTGGCATATGGGTTTTATATATTAGGGTCTGTAGAGGAGATACCACTTGCAAGGATTTAGTGTGCCAGGACTGTGTGCCAGATGGTAAAAGCCATATGAGTTGCAGAGTTCTTTAAAGAATTTATTTTAGTTTGTTTTTGTTTATCATAGAGAATATCCTTCTGGGTTCATAAAGTTTCAGCATGTTCTGCCTTCTGCGTCATGGAGAAAAATATTAACTCCATCCTGAATCCAGGCCACCAGGAGAACAAAAATAGTATTTAGAAAAGGAGGTAGGCAGGCCGTTTCCTGGGACAGAAAAAAATAGTTAGTTTAAAATACATTCTTGCTATTTTAATACTAAAATGAATAGATTGTTACTGCTGTTGTTCTCTGAAACAATTTATTCAGAAGATTAAGGAGAGTTCTTTGAAACAAGTATATTTAAACACTCTGCTTTATCCTGTTCACTCGGAAATTTGAAGTTTTTCTTGTTATGGTGAATTACTCACATTTGAGTTTGGGCATATGTTTACTCAGTATCATGGAGGGGCTTCCCCTACCACACAGACAAACAATTGGTATAATATGGTAAACCCCGAAATTTGAAGTCACGGGCCAGGGAAGCACGTGGGACGTTGGACTAGCAGGAAGTTCGGGAACAAGGACACGGGAGTACGGCACAGTGTGCATGGGCTGTAGGGGGGGGTCGCAAATCCACAACATTTAGTACTGCGATAAAGAGGACGCAGCATCAAGGTATTTAACTGGACTGTCCATCTTTGAAGCCAGCTACTGTGCCTGTGAAAATTCATCTAAACTCACCATTTCTTCACAAGAAAGTAGACATGCGACCGGCAGAAAGACGCCGCGCTGAGGGGACCCTGAGGGCAGAGAGGCCTTCGCGGCCTCAACCCTCAGGCTGAGGCAGGCGCAAAATGGGAGCTCGTCCTCATGGGCGCCGCGGCTGCCCGTTCGGGTCCGGGTTGGGACTGGGGTCGGGGTTCGGGTTGGGGCCGGGGTTCGGGCCCAGCCGGTGCCGCCAGGTGGCGAAGCGGGCGGGGCGGGCAGCGCCGCCGCCGCCGCCTGTTCCTGCGGCTGTCCCTGAATAGCTGATCTTGGGAGAGCCGCGGCCCCGCTCCCAGTTCCGCGCCCCTTATTGCCCGTTTGTTTAGCTGGGTGGGAAGCCGAGCCCCGCCTGCCAGCAGCTTCGGGGTTTTTCCACCAGCCCCGCTGGGTTTTACTAGGCTCCTCCTAGCAAAGCGTCCCGAAACGCGGGGTAATGCCCTGGTTTAAAATTGGTTCCCCCGGGGTGCGTTAGGGAGCGCGGTGCAGCGAACGCGTTCGGAGCTACACCCAGAATGCGGCGAGTTGATGTGAAAATGAAGTAATCGTAGGTTCAGTATAAATTCCTGTGTTAAACCCCCCACTTCATGCTTTGAATCTGAGTCACTTCAGCTAGACTACAGCTACCATTGACATACAGGCTATGGATGTGATCCAGGAAAACAAGATATTTTGGGACCAGTGAAGGGCATCTCAAGTTTGTATTGCTTACTGGTAAAATTATTCATTTTTGTTGAAACCTCCAATTCCTGGCTGAACCATGCTGTGATAAATAAGGGTAAAACATGGTTTGCTTGACTATTGATAGTAAGCTGCATGCTGGTTTTTGTGAGTGAGAGATCACTGCTGCTTGTGGAGGCGTCCCAGTCTAATCGCTTTTATAGACAAAATTGACAGCACAGCCACATGGTGTGCATGAGAGATGAAATGAATGAATGCTTTATATTTATGTTATTAAATTCAAAGTGTAAATTGGTAGTGAGAATTCTGTTGTAACCATCAAAAATAACCATCCCTTGTGCCAGTTCCCCATGTTTCCTGATACAGCTTGGTTTTCTTTTTCTTTTTGTCTGCTGCAAAATATAAAGACTTTTAGTCAGTCTCTCAGCCATTTCAGGGATTTCCTTTTTTTTTTTTGGCTAATTGAGGCTTGTTTTCAGGTACCTGGGCCTAAGTGACTTCAGTGGAATGGGCATTTATGCTCAGAATGCACTGAACACTGTCATTTTATTCTTAGTTATTTGGAACCAGTTTGCTAACTTAAATGTGCCATTGTACATACTGAAGTGATTGCTTTTTTCCTTTTTCTGTTCTTTTTCTCTGTAGTACTTCAAAGCATATACAACACAGGACAAAGTATAGTATTGAGAAGCTCCCAGTCAGACCTTACTTGTAGCTGCTGATCCAAAATGTTAAACCAATTTTTGATACATCTCATAATGGAAATGATTAATCACACAGAAGCTCTTTACAACCAAACAAGGAGATGCAGCCTATGCTTCCAGAAGGGAACAGATCCATAAACAGAGACAAGTTTATAGAGAATAATTCTTACCAAACAGATAAAATTGGGCTTTTTTTTTTTTTTTTTTTTTTTTTTTTTTGTTAGAAAAGAATTCAGAGCTGTTTTTCAGAAGTTTGTGCAGCTGTTAGTTAGTTGGGTAGAAGGAGGTTTTGGCTTTCAGTGTAAAGTAAATATTTTCAGGGATCAAAGAGGTGGGAAATGGGGGTGAGGTGAGTTTGCATGTTGAGAGGTAGCCACTCAGCTCTGAGTGGGCTATTACACAAACAGGTATTATCTCTATGTTTTTGTCTACCACAGATCTAATACCCTGCCAGTGAACAAAAATGTATATTGACTTATGTTTTGGATAATTTGAATAAAACAAATCCAGAAAGAAGACCTGAGACCTGAGAAGTTTTTGTTTTTATGGTCTCTTTTCTCCCTCATGACTCCAAGACGTATGGTGTCTGGCCTTATTTTTGTCACACCTTTCTCTACTGACAGAAATGCTTTGAGTTTCATTTGGAGGGATTTGGGTTAACCACTAGCTAGAGGTCAAGAAATTCTCCAATCATGTGAAGATGAGCCCTCAGTCTGAGCATTGTTCTTCATCTAGCTACTTCACTTTGAGGTTTGTCTTAAAAGCAAGTAGAAGGAGCTATAGGGTATTTTAGTTGTCTTCAGTTTTGAGAAGAGAATTATGGGGTCTAGGCATAAATATTCATACAACAGACATCTCTAAAGCAACAGCTAGAAGCAAAGGCTTAAGCCTGAAGGCATCTCACAAGGTAAGGAATGGAGGCCCCATGGAGGTCTTTCTCAGCTCTTTCCCAATAGTGTGACCAAAGAGAAAACACTACACCAAAATGTAGCTGTCCGTAGGTACAGGCAGCCAGATCCTGGAGATGGAGCAGGAGACAGGATGCAGAATGCATGAGGGCATTCAGGGCCCTGACAGATGTCAACTATCATGAACACAAGAATCAAAATAACTGCTCTGATATTTTTACACCATTCCTCAACACTTTCTTTATACACAGCAAAGAGGAGGAGATGTAACTTGTCCTTGTCACAGAAGAGGAAGAAAGCACAACACTCTCATCAGGCCTGCAAAGGCTGCACAGAACTCTTTCAGCCTGAAGTCTGAAACAGATTCAAAGGACCACCTCAGCTTCCTGCCTGAACTAAGTATTTCCTCTGTCTCCCCATGCTTTTTGTCGTTACTTTCATGGGTCCTTGAGAGTTCCCTAGTCAGTCCCTGCAGCAGCCACCTTCTCTCCCCACAGAGTCTGCATTTGTCAGTCTTTGGTACAGAAGTCAATGACTTCTGCTGCTCTGTGCTGCTCTGTGTTTATGGAGATCCTCCCTTGAAATTATTTGGAGAGCCATTCGTGCTCCACTCCTTCAGACCATCTGCCTTAAGATTCCTCCTAAGGAGGATGTATTTAGAAAATCAGCCAACTACTCTAATGGTGGCTAGCCTGAGGAGAAGGTAAGAAGAGGGTGGGGAGTTTTAGGTATTGTTCTATTTAAATAATAATTCTCTATTAACATGTTTCTAAAATGGTTTAAAGCCTGAATGTATGTTTTTGACCAATCACTCAGTTTCATAATTTTTGTTTGTTTTTTTTTTTTAGATACAATCTCCAGTTGATTTGGTCTTAAAATAATTTTCCTTCATTAACTAAAATAGGTGATTAAGAACATCTTAACTATGCCTCTCATTCAGGAAAACTGACAGATTAATTATGTTCTAAAGAGCTATGCAAAACTGGAAAATTACTAGTGCTACTTTTAGTGTAATTTTGGCTGATATTAATTTGTTACCTTTTTCTTAATTGTATAAGATTACTTCTTTCTCTGCTGGGGATTTGAGCAGTGAGAATATTTGACCCATATGTTAAGCTGTGGAACAATCTTTTAGCACTTCTATGGAAGTTTTATTTTTCTTGTTTGCCTTAATTTAAACATAATCTCTGATTTGTCATGAGCAAGGAAAAAGGTCATTGAAAAGGATGACAATAGCTAATAGGTTCTATTCAGTGTTAACATGCCCCACCTGCTAGTAGTGTAGTATTTCTTTTAATAAATATGATAGAGTTCTTATGTCTAGAACTGGAAGAGTTTAGGTACTCCTAAAGCATAGAGGAGGGGGCACTGAAAAAGGGCCATGGGTTAGATGCAGAATTACTTTGGATAAGTAGGCATTTGAAAGAGCAGCCTCAGAAAATACCCTGCTTCCTAAGAATGCAATTTGTAACTTTAATAACTGCTCTGCATGGTAAAGTGACAGAAAATGAAGGGGATTTGTCACAGGACACATAAATGAGATAGAAATTATCTAGGTTTCACAGAGATTAATTAAGAATCAGTCATATAGGTAGCTACAGCTGGTGCTCATAGCTTTGTGTTGACTGGCCAGAATATCAAAAACTCATGGAGTTTCTTGAGTGTTTCTAGATTATTTGAAGAAATTGTTTGATAACAGTCCACAACTGTTTTGAAACAATTTCAGACACATTCACTAAAGCATGTTAAAACTTTTGCTTATCTCCCAGGATCACATGGATAAACAAGGCTTTTGTACATATATTTGAAAAAGCTTTGGTGAAAATTAAGCAGTATTTTATCTGCAAAGACAAACTGTATCAAAGTCCACCATACTGGCAACTTTAATCAAAGGCTTTCTAGACTTTATAATTTGTTACAGATAGCATGTATTTTGCACAGGAACTGGATAAATATGGTGGAGGAAATAGAATCTATAATGTATGCCTCCTAGACATCCTGCATCCATCAGTAGGATGTGCTTAACTTACAAAGGATGAAACAATTAGGATGAAGGTGTTGTCAAGAAGGGAGCATGGCAGTGCTGTTCTTGGAAAAAGGGACATAATGAAGAAATATATTGACCAGCTGTAATGAGACAAAAAGGTTAGGGAAGAAAAAGGTGTGCTGAAATTAAAGCTGATGCAGTTACTGGTGAGGAAAATGATTATGCTTTTTATTGGCCTGAACGGGTTGCAAATGAAAATGTTACAGTAGGATGTGAGTCTTTTAATACAGATGAAGGGCTGAGAATGAACAAATGCTAATTCCCTTCCTAACAAGCTACCTTTAGCTGTAGGGCATATACAGAATAAAACTTAGCTTTAAACATGTAATGGGAACCATGTTGTGTATGTGTTACACGTGGCTCTGATATTACTGAATCCATTACAATGAACAGTAATTAAGAAATATATATACTATATATGTATGTATATATAAAAATCATCCTGATTTATAAGACTTTGAGTTACTTGTTTAAAGAAAACCTCTATTTAAGTCCCATTGAATTTAGAGCTGTGCTTGAATCCTTTCTTGATCTGGGACCTTAGGCAGATTATTTTCCTTTTCTGGGCATCATGACTTCTTGAAACTCACATTTTGCAAGGCAGAGTCAATATGATATGCTGCACAAAAGTATTTTCTCATGAAAACTTTGTTATTGTTCCCATTTTCTTTCATCTCAAATAAAAATAACTCATGCTGAAAATGCAGTCTGTGGATATTGGCAATTAAAAACAAATCAGGAAATCTCTCTGCCCTGTGCAGAATGAAATTATTGGGTTGCCTACCA